CTAAGTCGGGGCTCTGTCTTCGACTGACCCTCAACTGACCATCGAAGGCGCTGAAGAGATCGTCCGGTGCATCCTGGGTGGACGAGTGGAACATGCCGTGCAAGGTGCAACGGCGTGGACCTGAGTTGCAGCGGCCACCTGCTGATGCACAGGTGGACCGGTGGACCTGTCACACCGAATAGCAGCACAGGTGACAGAACCGACAATGATCGGTTTAGATTAATGTTTGTATGGGTTTTGCTTGATCATGCCATCCGAGTCGCCAGGTGGGACATGAATTGCAACTCATTGATGTTCAATGAACACCAGGTGAAAGTGCGACTCTTTGTTGAAACTGGCGCCATCCCCACGGCCCACGAATTGACCTGAACGATCATATAGAGCCAAAGAGAACTTTTGACATTTTTTGCGACGTGCGCAAGCAAATGCTTGTCTTCTCAGCGTCGCATGGACATGGATATGTTTTTCCATTTCGTTGTTGGAATTGTGTTGTGTTTTAATGTGTTTATTTTCTATTGTTTTTCTCTATTCCTCCTATCTTTATGAGTTCATAACCTCTGCACAGGGCTCATTTCCAGAAATAACTTTTTTATGGTTTTTTAAATGTTTTTTTTATGGCTTGGAGCTATGGTTTTTTTATGGTTGTGAAAAAGGCTAAAATTGGATTTATGATATTTTTATGTTTTTTTTATGTGTTTTTTTTTAATGGATTGAGGACTACTAAATTTACTAAATAGGCCTATTAAATAGGCGCTCCAGGGCTGCAATAAGCAGAATGTGTTGTCAGTGGGCAAGCTGGAAACTCTCATATAGGGGAACTTGGAAACTCTCATGTAGGGGGCTATCAGACCTGTCACAGAACTTGGAAAATTGTGGCGCCCTAGGCCCCCAGGCAACACACTTGGGTATGTCTGGCACGTGCTTCGGCTCACCTCATAGGGCCTGAAAAAGGCCATTAACAATCCATATTAAATCCATATTGTTGGAGAAGGATGCAAATCATATAAAAACCATAAAACATACTGTGTTTTATGTTTTTTTAATGGTTTGGGCAGATTGGTAGTTTTATGAGTTCAATAGTTAGAGAAAAGTAAAAAACTCTAAAAACCATAAAACACACTGTGTTTTATGGTTTATATATATATGATTTGCACCCTTCTCCAACAATATGGATTCTTTACAGAAAAAATACGGTGGCTCCAGAGCTCCAGGTTTTGTTTATGGGGAAGAATACACTTTGCACAAAGGTGTGAGTCTGGTGTCGGGCCTCTAGGGGACTGCCATCACACGCCCCGCCCTAGGCCCTGGGCCCTCCTCACAAGTACCCCCAAACCCACGTAAAACACCCAACCAGGAATATTGAACAGGAGCCCCAAAACCGGATCCTTGCGATCTTCCAGGGGCGGCTGCGTGGTCACAGGAAGGGCACAGCGAGCACCCAACAGTGCCGCATATTCCAATTGCGGCTTCACAAAAAAAATTGTAAAAAAACTATATTCCCAGATCATATCCAAACCATAAAAAATCCATTAAAAAAATATTTGGACATACTCTTCACCTGCAGGCTTCTGAACTCTTAATCCTATCTTTGGTGTTTTTGCTCCAATGGTTTCCTTTCTGCCTTTCTATACGTTTTCCACCATACTTATGAGATGTTAGGCAGACACAGCTGGCCATGTACAACGCCAGTCGTACTCCTCACCAGTCTCACCAGTTGGAAGGGACCCAGTCCTGCAGCTGTGAGACCCACATCAGAGGACCCAACAGGCCCAACCAGAACCCCACGCTTGCCAGGGGAGTCGATGTTCCGCTGAAGTCGTTCGCTTTTCGTCGTGAGTCGTTTGTTGCTCGAGGACCAGCGGGATGACCTTGCGGTCCTGTATGTTCTTTGTTTCTACATGTGTGCATCTAAGCACATCTTAGCACATCGTAAATCATGTAACATCATAACATATCAGATACAATGATGCAGACCCACCACAGCCCGCAGCGCCCGCAGCGCTCTCCCAGGTGGCTGTGGGCTACTACCCCAAGCTCTCCAGGCTACGGGCGTCCACCGGTGCGAAGGCGCCCGGGTGGATCGACCAAGGAGGCCAAGTGAAACATGGTGTAAACGGTGTACACGGTATATAGATGTTAACTGTTCTTGGACATGATATGCCTTCTAATAAATGATATTGAATGATTTTGGGATTGCTATACATGGCCATGACTACATGGCCATAGTCATGGCCATGTATAGGGGAACTGCACGCCTCTAGACTTAAGAGCTGAATGAAGTGTACATGTGCACAGGCTGCAGTGAGCTGCGGCAAATACCTCGGAGCGGTGGCCGGAAGTCCTTTAGCATTGTCGGGATGTGTCCATTGTTCCAATGTACAATGGACACATCCTTGTTCCAATGCTCATGAGCATTCCTACTTCAGCCATTTAAGTGTTGCTCCATTTAGTTCCACAAGAACTGCGGAGACTTGAAGATTTGAGGATGAAAACCCCAATGACCTACAGAGGTTCCGATCACACCTGGAGAACTTAAAAACAATCCTCGAACCAAGCTATCATGGCTTCAACATCCAAGGCTTTGTTTCCCCGTTTGTCTCATCGGTCACGCCGATGCAACGTCTCCAGGCCAACGTCTCGATGCAGCTGCGCCCCTCTGCCCAGCATGCCTTCACTCTGCAGGCATCCGGTCCAGCGCGACCGGTCCGACCCACGAGTGAAGCTCAGTTCGAGCGTCCTCTCGGCCACATCCAGTCCTCAAAGAAGCGCTTGAGAAGAACGTGACCCCTCCTGTTGGGTGGGTCACGGGTGGCCAACGCCTTTCTCCACACCTGGGGGTGCAGGATCTGTGAAGCTTTGGAAGGTCTTTTCCAGACCTGGCACGGTGCCACCTGGTGCTGAATGCTTCAGTCGACTCGGCCGCTCCCAGGCATTGGTCACCCAGCCAGTCCCCAAAGGAGGAGCGATCCACCTTTAAGGCCACCGGGATCTCCCCGCACCGGACCGTGGCTGTGGTGTCTCAAATATGGCCATGGCATTATATGGCTAAAGGCTAAAGGTGATTTTTGAAGGGAAGGAAGGATGAACACAAATATACACCAATCAGGAGGCATGCCTTGGATCACTGCTCGCTTTTCTGTCAAGATGTTGATCCGTAAGGTGGCTGAGGTGGCTGGTGATATATGCCTGGACCCTCCGACAGTCGCGTTTGCTTCTTCGAAGCAGACGAGCAGAAGAATCCAAACACAGGGCCTTCGGTGTTGCACGGCTTTGCTCTTTTACTACTCAAGTGGAAGGCAAACACTTTCGGCGTCAGTTAGGTGTTATGAGCCCCGGCCTTGATGAAGATGAACATGCACTCCTTTCGTGGGAGAACATGTTTGTTTCGAGTGATTTTGTGGATTGATTTTGAGGGACCAAATCCATATACCCCCCACAAACAGAAGGGCATGACTGGGTGTTTGGTCACATTTCAAGCAACGTTACATCAGTAGAGGGGTTTCACAGCATGTAGGTACTGTAGAGCCCCAATGAACAGGCATGCTCACCTGCCATAGTCTTTACTTGCTCCCTCAAAACTCTGGGCTCAAGTCCCTCAATCTCTATGGGTGGGGCAAATCCACACCCACAAAAATCACTGCGCTTCCCAAGTGAGCCAAGAGTCTCGGGATGTCTTGAGTGTTCCTTTGATCCCCTCGGAGAAATGTCGTGCTGCAGACCAGCGCCAGGCCGGGGGTGCTCCAGCCGTGCCAAAGCGCGGAAAAGTGATTTGTGCGGGGCTGGCTTCGGGGAGGCACACGGCTACACTCCGCCAAGTCAGGTGAAGATGACTTATATGAAGATGACTCATATAATCCCCCTTTGGGTCATCGAAAGGGGAGTCTTGGATACCTCGCACGCATTGGATTCCATAGATTGTGATCCCAGTGGTCTTTTCTACATATAACTGTTTGGCGGAAATCATGGAGCATTTGTTGGTGCTGCGTGTTTCCGATGGCTGAGCAGAAAGGCCAGAAAGACTAGCAGCTGTGTTGAATTCTAACATATTCCAAGTTCTTTAGCTACTTTGCCGCTTCGCCTCACTGAACTGCTCGACTCCTTAGCTCGAACATGCTCGAACAAACTCTCCCCTGAAGATGTCCGGATTGTCGACATTGCGAGCCAGAAAGGTGTTGGGTTAGTGTTTTGAACTGGGCATCAGCGGAACCAGGGGGTGACCCTCCAACACTTGCAGCCCGACGGACCACCAGACGCCTCCAAGGCCCTTGGCCTCTCAACGGACCAATGACGCCCGGAGACCTGTGACAGAGAAGCAGTTTAGAAGTTGATAGGTGTGCTCCAGATGATTTCGAGGGCTCCAACTATTTAAAAAAAAAAAAAAACGACCAGTTTGGAGCCTTTTAACTGCCTCGCTAGTTCGATGTACCCTTCGACTCACTAACATGGAAGTGGAAAATGCCTGGGGAAGACTATATATATATTATATTCCTTTAGAACACGGGGGGGGTGGAATGTGCAACTTCCATGTGATGTGTTCGTCGGTTGGAATGTACATTCAACCTGAATGATGGTTATAGCAGGACCGATGCGGCGGAAAGCGGACCTTGGTGCTCAGGACCTCGGGGCACCAAGGACCTCGTCGGACACCTCGGGTGTTCACAAAGGGTTTTCTGTTCTGGGCAGTGTGAGGTCCTCTTCGTCGGCGGCAGGTCCTTACTAAAACCCAACGAGCCTCCAGGCCAATCTTGGGCACTCCCAACCTAAGAGGCCGAAAGCCACAAGCAGAAGTCAACCAAGAAGCCAAGCATTGGGACATGTATAGTACACAGTATAAATACATGTCCATTCTTGGATTTTATGCCAATTTATGCCAACACCAGAGATAGTGAAAATAACTTTAGAAACCACCAGGTCCGGTCTATACCACCACACTGGCATCAGGCCTCCCTGCTCTCCACGCGGTCGCAAAGCGACATGCCAGTCGAGAGCTTGGTCCAGATGCTCCTCGATTGGGTATATGTAGCACAGAAAACTAGTGGACATGTTCATGTTGAGTCCGGCCGTCCCAATGTTGGTGGACCAAATCCTGCTACTGGTACTAGATACCCTATGTGACTACGTGACTTATTTTTTGGAAAAAGACCATGCAGTCTTCATATTCCAAGATTTTCGTCACAAGACAATCGTTGTTTTGCTGCAGTTTCTTGCTTTGATTCCTCGACGACCATTCATCTATCCCCCTCGGCTCAAGTTGCCATGATGGAAAGGTAGCAATGTTTTGGCCAATTTGGGCCTTGCTACTGCTGCGTGCCACCGGGAAAGGTGGAACTGCGAGTGGAAGCTATGGCGGCACCGGAGGAGTCTACTCAGGTGGGGGGAAGCAGATGACCAAGTACCCAACACCCGAAGACTTGGGCGTGATGCGCTTTGATTGGCACCAAAAGAGTGAGGCGAAAAGAATCATCACTGCAATCATAAGGCAGAAAGGATTCAACTGTTTAGGTGTGGATATTTGATGAAATTTGTGGTTGAAGCCTCCTCCCGTTGTTTTCAAGCCATCAATATAACATCCATGTTTTTTGCTTCGTGGCCTCTCGCTTTATAGATCTGAAAGGTGGTGGTATCGTGGCCTCTCGTGCTGCTTATGCCAGCACCGGGGCCTTTGCGGCTGTCGTGCTTTTATCTGCTGGAAGCCGGAGGCGATATGGGACCTACTACGATCCCCAGGACCGGCGATGTCGGGACAGGCTGTTCCATTAAACAGCAGGCTGTTTGAGCCTGCTTTTGAGTTGTTCCATTTCATTGATGAACAAACAACACACAGAAAGACACAATTATATAATCTTGACCATTCTCGAGCTTTAAGCGGCGAAGATCAATCTACTGTAACTTTATCCCTTTGTTCACCACGTTTGCTTGAGTGACCAAGGGTAACCGTGGACGGCGTGTTTGTCGTGTTCAACTCGAAGTGATTGATCTCAATGACCCAAAATCAGTCCAAAGCCACTGACGACATCAGGACAATAGTCGTTTCTCTTTTTCAGGGTTGAATGCCCACCGTTACCTCAATCTACGAAGATCCAACGAAGATAGTGATTTGGCTCTTGAATCTCAAACCGGTGCATATCATTGCCGCATGGTCCTTTAGGATAGGCTTATGATGGCGCCATTTTGACGCTTCCGGAATCTACTGTAGCTGGCGGGATGTGACTTTCTGGTTTGTAGGGTGCGGGGTTCGATGGACAACGGCCCACCCAAGGCGATCGAAATCCACAGAAACGCAGAGTCGGACCATTGAATGTCTCGTTTGCGAGCCACATCACAAGTGGTACAGATATGCCTAGATCGTGGATTTGGGGGGGCCTTGCTGCATAGTTTTTTACATTTCTGGGTCATTTGGAGTAGATTTCTCGAGAGTGGTTGATGTTGGAATCTAGGCAAATCAGTCACGTCATGAGGTCATCGTACCCGAAGCCGCAGTTTGTTGACTTTATTGTTTCACAGATGAATGATTTCCAGACCATCCTTGGGACTGCAACATGACATTTATATAGGTGAATACAGTTTATAAAAAAATATATATATATATATGTCTAGACATGGATGGTCTGGATGTCTAGACATGGATGCTTCCGTTGGCACCGTACGGATGTTGGATGTTGGAGGGGGAAAGCGGAACAACGGCTCCGTCGGACTCTGTCCAAGGCTTGCATTCACCACAGATAGCTCGGTGAGTTCACGTTAGCTCGGTGTGTTCATAGAACGGGGCAATGATGATGTACAAAGTAGTTGGACTCCAAAGGGAGCAATCGAAGCGTCGAAAAGCCCAGTGAGGACGCAGGAGGCCTTTGCACGTTGCTCTCCGAGGACGAAATGAACAGCTCATGCAGCAACCTCATTGGAAATGAAACTGTTTGCCATGATTGCATCGCCTGCGAGACGGAGGACTGCATGCGCCTCCACCAAATATTCAACGGCAACGAATAACCCAAAGTGCGCATAGGAAAAAACACAAGGCAAAACACGGAACGTAGATGAACGTAGAGGTTTTTTTGCTACAGGTCCAGCGGGATTTTTCGGTCCCAGGGACTCATGCTGACCAGACTGTGGTTGACTTCTCAGCCACTGGTTGCTAAGGACCGAGATCAGCAACTGTGATGAGTTCTTGGCCACCGTGTTCACTGAATGCTGCGTCGAAGACTGTGACGTGGGCAGCTCCACCCCCATCACAGCTCTCTTCGCAGTCGTTGCATCGAGCCCTCGGCCTGGCATAGCTGGCACCAAACAGGCTTCGAGACGCCCAAAATTCAACATTTGAGGGTTCTAGTTCCATAGCATTCCCAGACACTCCATGGGACTGCCATATATGCCTACATTGGGGTGGTTTTGGGGGTCAATGTAGTCATAGATGGCATACATGGAGTGTCTGGGATTGGCTACTCGAAATCGAGCAAGACTTCAACCAGTCCCAGTCGTTCGAAAACGATTCCGACTGCCAAGACGTAGACACTCTGAGACACTCGACCATGGTTCTTCAGGTTGCGTGTAGCAATACCCACCTGGTCCAGTGGAACCACCTGGCCCAGTGGAACCACCAACTCCACTGGTGAGGCTAAAGGATGCGAAACCAACGCACGAGTTCTGGTCCTGGTCCTGGTCTGGTCCATGCATTCTCGTCCAGCATCGTGTTTGGGCATCATAAGGAGCATCAAGAACGATCCATCTTCCAAGAGTGGCGGGCCCTACGGTCGATGCATGCGATAGATATGGTCGAGGAAGAGAACGAACGGCTGTTTGTTTTTTTTTTCTCAGCCGGCTCTTGAGTTTTGTGCACAGATAGTTGCAAAGAGTTCTCAATCCGCTGTCATAAACCCCAGCTTTGTGGATCTTGCGGTTGCTTCGTCAGCAGGTCACCAGCTGGGTGTTTTCGCATTTCTCAGAAGAAGAGGGACCACTCCGGTGAGTAATGAATACACTGTAACAATCTGTAACAGCATATTAATATGTAATCTGTGTTGTAGTGGCAAGAAGCCCAGTAAGATGGATGGGATTGCATGGGCTATGACCACCAGCCTTGTGACCGTGTGGGCAGCAAGGATTGTTTTTTGCCTGGCGGGCGGCTTCATTGTTTGGAGTGGCCTGTTGAAGATGAAGGCTTCCTGTCGCGAAATTCGACCGGGCCAGGGCGTGACATTCTTGATTCCATCCACTCCCTAAAATCACATGCATCCGTGGATTTTCGTATCTCAGCTGTTCCTGAACTTACTGGCCCAAGACAGAACAGAACTGCTTGCGCTTTCCATCTCTTATTCTGTCATACCCAGTCAGTGGATAACCTGTACTGTATACAACCTTAAATATAGGCATTAAAAACAGTAAAAGAAAAACAAAAAACACAAAACAAGAATATTCAGAGAAACTGAAGGAGTAAGCTGTGCACGCCGTAAGTTAAGGGGAAACTGAAGGAGTAAGCTGTGCACGCAGTAAGTTAAGGGGAACCCATACCTTGACTTGATGAATTTCTGTGCAAAGAGGGTATTTTTAGATATTTTTAGTCCGGCTCAAACCTCAGGCACCAGGGAACCATCGGGCATTGTAAGTGGTCCTTGTAGGTGGTCCTTTCCTTCGGTTTCGTTGAGAAAGCCAGAGCACCAGGTGGGCGAGTGGTATACAAGTCGAGTTGCTTTCTCGACCCTATATAAAGAAGAGTGTGGGCTCTTTCACCTGATACATTCTTTAAGAACTCGATCTCTCCTTTCATCTCCCTATAGTTCTTTCATTCCGAAAGGAGTGCTACTTGAGATCGTGCCCCAAACGACTTGCTCGGGCTCCCCCTCCGGACTCGCGCCGCTGGTCGGCTCTTCGGCTCCCAGGCCGCGCTGGTCCACCCGTCCGCGGTACCCGGGGCTCCGCCTTCAGACGCCTGGGTACCCGCCAGCCAGCCACAGATCCATTGGCCGGTGCAGGAGTTGCCCGGGTCCCAGGCCGGCGTCCCGTTGAGGTCGGTGCTCTTGTGGTTTTCATCACGGGAGTCCGACACGCGCGATGTCACAGGATCGAATCGTTTCCTTTGGTTGAGGATACAAGGACATGGTAGGGCAGGGGAGATGTGTTTGCAAAGATGCCCTTATGTAATTTGTATAAGACAGACTAGTCCCCTAATTCCAGCCAAGCAGACTGCAGTACCATGCTTTACCTCCTAGTGAGTAGTTGGACGTGAGACTCAGACACAACACTCCAAACCCACTCCAAACCAGCGGACTTGTGAACATCCTTGGCTTCATACTCTTGCAGGTAAATGACTTTTGTTGGGCAACAGCGCACAGCGGAGGGGTTTATGCTCAACAGCTCACGTATAGAGGTTGCAAATATCGTTTGGCGTGCCTGCGTGTGCCACTCCGTGCGCCCAGTTCCACATGTTCCTCTGTCCACTTGGCCCAAAGACCTTGGAAGGTGAACGGTGATGTCAAGGGGCAGGTCGTCGGCATCAGCACCTTGGCAGCACAGACCTTGCAAGGAGCAGCACAGACCGTTTGGGTTTGCGGCCCTGTTAGACAGAACAGCAACCCCACAAAACATCCTCCTCCAAGTAGAACTTCTCCATACAAATCCTATATAATTACTTCCCAATGGTTCATATGGGGAACTTGGCGGACTTGGCGTGCAGTTTGATCAGGAGATGGTAGGGCTGGCTGTGAGCCAAATCCCACTCCTGTGTGCTTCCTGGCCTTCCCAAATTCCGGGGGCCCATTCCCCTCAGTGAGGTTCTGGCAAGGCCTAAAGCGGTGGGGCGTTCGAGCCCACCACGCAGTGCAGATGCAGATGCAGCTCACCAGGCGCCAGCACGGCAGAGAAGAATCTGACGCTTCTGGGAACGCGTCGTCACGCCCAAGGCGTAGTTGAAGGCGTGCGATTCCCATCCTTTTTCGGCTGAGAGCCAGGAGAGAAGGGCCTTTGTTTGGGCAGGTCGATGTGTTCGAGGACATCACGAAACTGATAGACGATTGACGAAGGCCCGAGTAAACGCATATATTGTATGTCTTGGAACTGTGGTTGGGGAGCATTTGCTTTGAGACACACCATCACTTGCTCGGGGCAATTCAGATACTGCTTGTAGCTAAGTCACCACAGTCTTCATGGCCAGGAGCAGATCGGTTGCTTCGATCGGCCGTGTCAGATCAAAGAGCCCTTGTCCGTTCGTAGCTGGATTATCCAGGCATGGCTTGGCCCTAGTTAGACCATGTTAGACCGTTAGACTTGGACATACTCGGCGGAAAAGAATGAGCGCGAAGGCTCGGACTGTCCGAGGCTGAAAACTCACTCTCTCAATTCTCATTGCCCTAAGAATCCGGGCCCTCAAACAGATAGGGTTTTGAGGCCCCGGACCCCTGCCATGGAGGGTCCGACCCTTGTGATGGACAGCCCAACGATTCTTAGGGTGGCTGACTGATATTCCACTCTCCCAATCATTCAACCTGCAGGGAAAAGTGGAACGGTTTCTGCTCGTTGAAGATCAACGGGCATCGGTCCTATTTCACTGTTCGTTGAATTTGAAGGGGGCCACGTTCATAACTTCTGATTCTTTCAAGGATGCTTGACTTGCTTCGTCCAGTTTGTAGGACGGGAGGCTATAGCAGCACTGCGCACTAAGTATTGTATCTTTATAGCGATGCTCAGCGTAGGCTTCAGGTAGCCGTGTGGGCAGAATTTCGGCTAAGAGAGAGTTGGTTGCACTGCATCACTGACCGCTGGCATCCTTAGGTGCCGATGGCTGAAGGGTGCCAAGCTCGGAATTCTGGGCCACGGGCGGCACACGGCGGGCCGCTCACGGGGTTGAGGTGGCCGCTCCACGCGGTGGCCACGCTGTCACCGTTTTTCCCGTCACCTTAGTTCGTTCCCACCACTCACTGTCACGTACTCCTGCCACCTTTTGCAACCGAAGCCATCTCCCAAACGTCGTGCGGCCGCTCAGAGCTCGGTCGAACGAGGCGGCAGCTGGAAGAGGCGCCCCGAACTGCATGGCCGCGCGATGGGTCGTTTGGAGCCACCAGGGGTCGTTTGAACCCGGGCGGCTGAGCCGAGCCGAGCTCCTTGGGGGAGTTGTCTAAGGAGGTACCTCCTTGGAACAAACAGGGCCAATGCCAATGGCTGTAAGCATGTTCTATATAATATGTTATGAGGATCCAACGTCTCATGGCATAACCAAGGGCTGTAAACAGGTTGAACCATAAAAGATTGGAGCAAACGTATGTTGCATGGATTCGATCATGGGAAGCAGTAGTTCATGCGATATTCCTTGTTATATATATATATATAACAGCGCGTGATGCGTTAGGAACGAGAGCAAGTGATGCCAACCCGTGCCAACCAAAATATGTTGATGGCTGAAAAGAAACTGGTGGTTCAAATATCAGGGCCGAATACTGGTTGGACTGGGACCAAAAACTCTAGTATACTTCAGTCAATAGTGACAATTCACTTATTGCTTATGTTTGCTTTGTTGCCAACTATATTACTGTAGATCTTTTCCTTTGCTTGACTTGCAATGCATCAGTCCCGGTCCCCGGTTCTTATACGTTTTCTTCTTTGGAACTCAGACTGCATTTGGCCCACAACACTGCCTGCAACGCTGGGGGCCAGGTACTGATTGGCTTGCAATCTCCAAGTGACCCTCCTGCTTCTGGGCGCATCGCGTGACGAGCGGCTGTAGAAGATTTGTGTGAACAGACCTGGCTTAGCAGGACCGCGAGCACCGCGAGCACCGCGAGCTACAACGTAGGCATGGATTGTTTGGTTGTGATTTATTCCAAGACCACGTTTATGTAATACATTAATATCCATACGATATATATATATATAATATATATTTACATATATTTACTAAAGGTGGTCCTGGCCTGGTATATAGGTGTTGTTGTGGTGTGCAGGGTCGCACAACGCAACCCCCAAAAGAAGGTCGCATGCATTTCAAGATTCCATCCATGGACGTTTGTAGATTGAAACCTTTGCCAATCATTTGGGCCGTTGGAAGCTTCAGGATGAACATTCCTTAAATGCATGTGTTCCTTGCATGATAGCATCATGACGTTGCAATTCAAATGTCACGTATTCTTCAGCCCGTCACACCACGTCTTTGGATTTTTGTCTTCAAAACGCTCCCAGGTGCCCTCCATGGCGCATCGCGAGATCCATGGGTGGGGACACCCAGCCACGCTGGCACAAGATGACAACGTGAAGAGCGCACCACCACTGAACCAGGCGATGAAGAGAGAGAGATAGAGAGAGAGAGATTTACGTTTTTTGGGGTCCCAACTTCGTGACAAGGCACGTGAAAACAACTGCAGATGTGCAAATGCCCAGATTTGGGGCACCGTCTCCACGGCTTGGTGAGAGGCTCAACCACCTGGCACCCTGGAGTACTTGATCAGGTTGACCCATCTCAGCACATTCCCGGGACACGGAAAGCTGGCGACGGCAGACGAATGGATGCCAAAGCAAGGCTTGTGTCAGGTACGATCTGCTATGTGCAAGCCAGCATCAAAGCATATACTGTATATAGTGGTCGATGCACGTCATACATCATACTCGTATCTAGTCATACAACCAAGACCGCATGTACCTTCCCTCCATGCAAGCTGAGCAGACCCCCGTCGAGCAAAAATTGGTGTTCCAGGGCCTGCACGACTGTCCACTTTGTAGTTCAGGGAGTGCACCCTGCATATCAGACAGCTGTACATATAGAGGTACATATATAGGGACATATATATCAGACAGTGTACCTCGACTGTATATAGACCATATAGCCCGCCATAGCTCGTCCCGCTCCTTTGACATCAGACAGCCCGTCCCGTTCGCGCCCAGTCTCGCACGTCCGAGGCCGAATGCCTCCCGCGTGCCACAACAGCTGCGCTTCGGGGAGGCACCAGTTTCGCAGGACGTGTGTTGGACGTCGCCATACGTCACCCAACTCAGTGATCCAAGGCCATTTACGTGGGCCCATGTAATGATTGTGCAGTACCAGGATCATTGATCATGGTTATATAATTATATATGTGTGTGTGTGGGGTGACTAAGTCATAGTGACTCATAGTGCTTGTGCAGCCAGAGGTCCGTTCCACAACCTCCGGCGGCGAGGCGGCTCCGCGCACGCGGCCCGGGTTGGGTTCGATGGGCTCCTGCAACGTGCTGTGCCCAGAGGTCGGGGATCCCGGTGGAAGACAGGGCGCGCTGGGTGAGGTTGAAGGAAATGCGGGGGTGGGGCCCTTCAAGAACTACCCAATATCTCCTGGCAGCTGGCACATGAGCTATGACTATCATATACATTCATGCACACTTTTTAATCTTTTAGTGTACACTTTTTGTGCCATTGTGCTCGGGCTACAAGTTGCCCATGTCAACGAGCTCAGATGAGCTTAGGCAGCTCCCTTTGCAGAAGCCTTCGGTCAGTCGCTTGGCAGCATCGGCCCCGTGCGAGCTGAATGTGGATTCTATTGAAGGAGACTTTCCGAGAAATGTTATAACAACAACACAATTACAGTGGTTTCAGAGTAGCTGGCACAACCCCCCAAGATATTTTTAGATGGGATCCATATAAACCACCGAACTTGGGGATGGTGCCATCTACTCTCAAACCCACTGTAAGTAGCATAAGCCTGCTAAGTGTAGCCAGCTCACACGATTTGGGTCATTTTGGATCAAGGCTACAAGAGAATTGTGTATTTAAATCTGCAAAATGAGGGACCCAACCATGCAGGCGGCATTTTCGATCCCATGGATTTCACCTAGACTAGACAATTGATTCCACCAGACGCTTCGAACAGATGAGACCCAACCTGTGGGTAATCTGGGGTTCTTTGGTGACAGCTGACCTCAACGCTTCCAAGACCCAAAGGACTACTTGAAGGGTAGGACATCCAGAAGTCCTGTTTTCAAACGGAGTACACACGTAATTAAGCATATATGTTTGCCGACACGTTGGAGCTTCGGGTTCCTGCTCATGGTATCGGCTTGGGGCTTGGAATGTTGAGAAGGTCTTCCTCACACCTGTCTAGGGTCTTATACTCTTCATATAAGAAACGGGCTTCCCACCCACTGGTTTAGGTGGTTGATCTCCTACCGGTTTTACAACTCCGTTGTAACATTTGCAGGTGCTGGGGATTAGAATCAGAATCTGAACTTTGCTAAGCAGCTCAATTTGCCGAAGCGCTTGGACGTGGGAGGCCAGATGACGTTCCCGAGGCTGGGTGGAATCAACTGGCAGTGATGGCAACGTGTGTTGCAAGAGGTCGGAGATAAGATCACCCAGTCAGTGGACAATTTTTAACCTCTTTGGGAAATTGGCTGCCCCAGTAAATGGCAACAATTGGGGCAAAAGCTAACATGTTCTTTAGTTTTTTTGATTACCAGGGACATTTAGCAACCTTTGTAGGAATAGGATTGCCGCTTGGCATGGGAGTAGATCACCATGGTTTGCTGACCGTGTAGTGTCCTTATGGGTTCATCATGGTTGGTCGTAGAAATTCATGGACCAGAGTCAAGACCTCCGTCACCAAACCCCTTCTAGAGGGATTTGTTCATGTTCGGTGGTTCACCAGGGTCCCCCAAGTCTGATTGGGCACTGTGGCATTGGCTCTCTTGGAACCACCATAGATCGTGAACCCTGGTTTTGTTTGTTGTTTAGTGGGGCGGTATTCTTCAAGCTGACGATCGAACACATGCGAAGCAAGCTCGGCAAGCTGTCAGACGGTTTCTCAGAACATGTTTGTTGAAGGTGATTGGTTTTATACCAGTAGAGACACAATGCATAAACATGATTTCATCCTTTGCCCAATCCTGGAAAGGCGTATGAACACGTTTTTTTGTGCGAAGGCCGTATTTGGACAGAATTTATCGTCTGGACATTTTAATTAACGAATTAGCGTATTTAGCCGTATGGACAAAAAGCAATACCGTACAAAAGCGTACCCATATGAACCCAAACTTTATCAACATGTTATCGACAAAAACCCAAACAATTATATTGCAAGATAAAACCCAATCAAACCCAATATTCGGAGGAATTCCAGAAAATTTGTCCATTTGACAAAAAAGGCCGGATGCACGGATATTTTGTGCGAACGTGTTTGAACAAAACAATGCACATTTGGATTCCCTGGATGTTTGCGCTTTGTGTTTCGCACCAGTCTCAGAAGGTTGGTCAACTCACCTAGTAGCAGGCTACTGTTTACGTGTGGGGTCACCTCCTGTCTTGATCAAGCGCCATGCCGACAGAGTACCTTTTGATTAAACTTTGTACTTCGAGACCATGTGGCCAGCGACTGGGCTTGTGACTGGTCGCTCCACTTTAGACCAATTTAGACCTTTTGGGCTGGCCACTGGGCATGGAGGAACCCTCTCAGGCGATGCCGGCGTCCTTAGCCCAGCGCAGCGCGGGCGCGCTTTGAGTTCGGATCGACCGCACTGATCCGGTACTTCCCACCGTGCTGATGTTCCAGCGGTGTACGTGGCGTGCGGTGGCGTGCGTACGTGGCGTGCTGTATACATGTACGTTTGAGCCCAAGCGGGTGGGGGCGCGACTGTGCTGACTGCGTGCGTGGCATCCGTGCGCCACTGTGCTGATTCAATCGGGCCGGGGTGTGGCCGTAGTGAATTTACTGTGAGAGAAGGCCATCGAAGACGCAGAACTCCTCTAAGGCTCTAAGGGATGGGCCATCTATCCAAGCGTTACAATGGCCACCTTGAGGGTTCGTTCCATCTAATTACTTTATAATACTTTATAGATATGTTGTGCTCAAATGAGGGACCGGCAACCATTTGGTACTGATTGATAAGGAAGCAGACTAGAAAATACATTGTTCTTCGGGGATTATGTCAAGATACACTGTACTTCAAAAGAGTCTTCCGACGCCTGTCACGTCCAGCTGTCAGGTGCCCTTGCCATTTATGAAATCTCCGGATGAGCAGCAGACCGGGTTTCTCATCCAGACTGTTGGGGGAGCCGCGGGCGAGGGGCGGGTGAAAAGAATCCTGGCCAATAAAAATGTCATTTTGTGATGATAATGCAACGCAACAAAACACATCATGAACAATATTTTAGCAGAACAATGGGTGCTTGTGCGTTCGTCATGACTTAATTAATGCTTAATATACCCTAAGAATCCGGGCCCTCAAACAGATAGGGTTTTGAGGCCCCGGACCCCTGCCATGGAGGGTCCGACCCCTGCCATGGACAGCCCAAGGATTCTTAGGGTAACTAATGTTCTTTGATTACGTTCCAAAACACAGATATCCATATTGGAATAGCCACTGCACTGAGGTCGCTTTGTTGAACAGGTTTTGACCAATGTATTCCTTTGGAAGTTACACATGTTGCTGGCCTGAACGCATTCTCCAGAGCTCACACAGGAATACTCTTTGATAAGGTGAGGTGTTCTGAATGCCTCGGACCTATCCGTGTGAGCCGTTCAGACTTCCATTCCTTCCGCACGGACCGTTTCAGTCAACATCTAGCACGACCTGCTGACTGCGCCACGAGGACCGGGTAGGACTAGGACCACAGACCTGCGCCGTGCCTGGTAAGATCGACTTCGCCCCATTCCTCCGGTGTTGGGCTCAGCCATTCCGCAGCCGTTCCGTGTTTTGTGTGAAACTTCTATGGCATCTTTGGTGGTGGAGACCTGGCAGCAGCGGAGGAAGCGGAAGCGATGCGGGGGGCGGGTGGGATTCGTCCGGATGCGGGCGGTACTCGGTGGCAGGGCTTCACATAATTAGTGTAGACTTACGTGGCACATGACACATGTTTTTCTACTTTCCGGCGAGCTTGCTTCAAGGTTTGCGCTTACCCGTGTGCAAGGAGGGAACATCCTTTCGAACATTTCCCGGGTCATCCTCGGTCGGCAAGTTTGCCTCAGAACCGGCGGAGAAGCAGGCGGAACATGATTGAAGATGCCAGGGTTTGATTTGTTGGATACCAAGGTTACCAAGTTTCTCCTTCTACACCTCCTCAATAGCTCTCGTGTTTGGCATACCAGCCGCCCAGAGGTCCCGGTTCTCATCAAAAGCTGTTTGGGTCGAAGCTGGTCCTCCTAGGTGTGCCCTATCGGTCCGATCCATCGCATTTCACTGATCTCAGGCCTGGTCAATCAAAAATGTGATTTGTGGCATCATTTGCCTGCTGGCACTTGCTTGGACGGGTCGAAAATACAGCGAGGACTGCGCTGTACGTTGGTTGGACTGTGTTGTTTGTCCTCTTTAGTTGGGTTGCAGATCGATCCAGGTCAATCCGTAGACGTAAAATGACGTAAATCATAAGAAATGGGCTACTAGGAAGCTACAGGGGCATCGCGACTCGAACGGAGCGATTTCGGACGCTACGATAGGGCGGCCTGGCCCCTTTTTCCCCAAATAGTGCTCCGCACTAAGGGGTTCTTACGGTAAGAGTTAAGGGCCGGGTTTAGATCAGGGTTCGCGCGTGTGGTTGCGGCATTTTGCGTGGGCCGGCTCGCACAAAAGTTATTTTTTGAATGCCTCATGTCCATTTCGACGGCGCAGGCTCGCATAAAGTGGGTGTCGCGGTTTTCGCGCTTCCGGGACAAAGCTCTCGTGCAGGTGCCGTGCTCGTTTTCGGACATGAAGTGCATTTTGCGTGGCAGGCGCAAGGAATTTGACACATTGGAGCCTCGAAAAGGTCATTTTACGTGGCAGGCGCAAGGAATCGGAGACTTTGCAAATTTCGTGGCAGGCGCAGTGTTTTGTGGACGTTGCAAAAACGTTGGCAGGCGTGTGTCATTCGCAGGACTGCGTTTCACGTGGCAGGCGCAGGGAATCCGCACCATGGATGCGATATTTTGAGGTGAAACGGCTGAATTCGTGAGAGGGGTCGCATTTTTGGAGTTTGAACTTGAGGATGCTTTTGCGTTGCCAATTTCAAAATTTGCGAAAGCCTCGTGCAATCCTGGGAATGCCTAGTGGCAAGAATAATTGAGACTCGCCACGGTGTTATGTTTTGGCTGGAAAGACGCCACTGGTGAAATTCATGGTTTTGCTGCCTGCGAGCATTTTGTGACTGGCTAAGATAAAATTGGACAAACCTGGGTTCGTCGCCATTGAAAATACCGAATACCTCTCATGGAAGCATGCTGCTTGCGCACAGGGCTTGAACATCTAGCAGGCATGGCTTGCGCACAGGTATTGCTACAAGCGCTTGCCAGAGCAACCTTGAGCCCCTATTTATTACTATGAACTATATATATTTTTGGTTTTTAAAACTCGGAAGTTTCTGGAAAAACACACACCCGACGAACGACTACACACACTGCTCACCCGTTTCCATGTGTTCATGCGTTTCGATGGCCATTTCTTCTCACTGCGAGCGCTTCTTCGAGGGTTCTGCACGCTCGGAGCTCAGCTTCCTTTTGGTGCTGGCATCAGTGGCGTGAAGATTGAGCTGCACAGTGACCAAGTACTTACGTAAAGTCCGCTCATGTACATTCTTGATGGAACACGATTTGGACATTGAGCTGGTCCTTCCAGTCAGATCTTCGTCCTGTTGGCACATGTATACACATGGCGATAGACACCATTCCCTGCTCGAGCTGGCGTGCTCCAAGTGCATGATCACATGACAAAGCTTGTGCAATTTTGGAATCAATTTAAATCTAGTCCGGCCCATCCTGTAGCTCAAGTTGGCGGCAGTGGTGTAGTGGTCTAACAACTGGCGGCCAAAGGAAGCGAGCTCTTGGGTTTCAACCTTTCCCATGAAAAGGTTTGCTCGAAACAACCGGCTGAGAAACTTGTTTCCAGAGCATATAGCGTTGAGAATACATGTAGTGTACTCCTTGTGAAGGCTGGTTGCCTGCAGCACCAAACCATACTTGTATTCCAAGTACTTGGCAATGGCCGTGGTGTCAGCCCCCTTGAACCATCCCCTGGAAAAGCTTGGGGAGAAATCTGTATCAACAACTAACAAAGAAGCTGTCGCAGAACATAAAGAACAAAAACATAAACATGTTGATCAGTATGGAGGCCAGGGCGCCCTGTCGGGAAATCGGACTTGGCCTCAAAATGCAGAATTGTCCTCGTACAATCGCTTACATGAAGGCTGATCCTGTTGCTGGCGCACCATGCTTTCACTTCTAAGAACAACGCATGCAGGCGCGTGGGAATGTCGCCCTGGTATCCATCAAAATTGTCATCCAGCAAAGCAACCTAGTGTGTTTTTGAACTGAGGTGGTAAGCGCAGCGCTTGTGAACAAAGAGCCCATAAAGGCAAAGGAAAACAAAAATATACAATGAAGCCCCAGGATCGATGGCGCTACCAGTCAGCTCCGCCATCACACCCTTGTGGATGGTGTGAAACAGATCCGGCCTGTAAAACCAAGTCTTTTGCCACATATCGGAATTGCGACAGAGTCTGGCCGTTAACGCACTCTCATTGCTCCAGGGAGGTTGCAAAGTGTTCAACGAATCGCTGCACAACCAAGAGCCAGCACGGCACTTGCTCCAGTCGCTGTAGGCAGCTGTTCCAGCTAAACACATGTGGCAAATGCCCTTCCCTCTGCCAGGGAGAGCATTTGCCTGGTGATGTGACCTCGCAAGATTTCCACACTTCTTCAGGAACGGCCAGTCACCTTTGGCGCAAATGACAACTGGGAACAACACGATTGTTTGTTGATAGCCCTCGTGCCAAATTGAAATTCCATCCTTGCACAATTCATCGCAATGCTTTGAAAAGTTGTCCAAAAGCGCATGAAAGACTTCAGGGGTCTTGTTGTAGCATGAAGCACGCATCACAGAGTACACAAAGCGAGTGAGACAACTCACGCCAACCATATTGACGCCCAGGTCTTTTGGCCCATGATCTCCTGGGCAGCCTTGTTCGTGAAGGAGGTGCCGAAACCGATAATGGGTTGCGTAGCGAAGACTAGGAATGCAGCCTTCTTGTGTGATTGCCCCTCGTCGCCATACACAGCAAGTGGCAGGCAGGCAGACAAATTGCCCTCTCTCAGATCTCAATTTTGATACCAATTCAGGATTTTCACCCTCAAACCTTTCCCAAAAAAGTTGAGTCGCAGTAAAAAGGTCTTGGCCTCCACAAAGGATGTCTAGGCGGTTCGCCCTGGAGAGCATACCCAAGTGGTCATCCAATCTCAGCACAGGGTGTAAACCTTGCAGCTTCGCATCAATGTAGGATAGCTTCACGTCAGCTTGAATTTTATGGTTCTCAAGAAGTCTTGGATCGCTCTCCTTTCCACTGTTCCGGAGTTTTTTCATATCAGAAAGCAACCGCGAACTCTTCAAGTGCAATGGTTTCTCTCCAATAGCTGCTTCATGTTCTTCGAGTATGGCCGATGTAAGCTGACATGTTACTCGGTCAGGCACCTTATACAGATTGCGGCAGCTGCATGCCGGTTGCAATAGAAATCACTAGAAGGGAAATGGAACCTGGTCACATGGTAAAACATCTTTTCAACACGTTCAAAATCTTTCAAGTTCTCTAATCAAGTTAGTCCACAGCTGATGGCCTTTGCAATTGCCTTGGCCACAGGCGTCAACGGCCGTGGTTGGCCAGACGCAGACGAAGGCTGGCCTGCGCTAGAATTGAATTGTCAGAAGGGCGATTGAAAGCATGCACAGTGTGGCTCAAAAAATCATGGATGGTCATATCTTTTCAGCTTTGCCATTCAATGCACTTTACTCCGGTCACAGAGACTTCACAGCCGATTGGCCGTGCTCAAAGCCACCCCAAAGCATGCGCTCACGCAACACTGAGGAATTAAGGTAAGCTGTCTTTTTGTTTTGGAACAGTCTTGACCGTTACAACATATTACATGGTTTTATTGAGGGCTCCAATCCGTTGCGCGCGCGCATGGCACCCCATTTCACAAGCTTCTCTGAGTAGCTTGTGTTGTAAATTAAAACTACTTCTTGGACTTCTTGGACGATTTTTTGTCCTTCTTCTTTTCATCAGAGTCCTTTCGCTTCTTTGAAGCCGGCTCCGATTCCGCAGGCGGCTTCGTCTTTTTCTTCTTCTTCTCAGCAGCCGCGCCCTCATTATCTTTCTCGTTCTTCTTCAAGTCCTTGAGAACAGTCCTGGAGCAGATCGATATGATATATATATATATACTTGTTGTTTTTTGGGTTGCCTCACATAAATATTTAAACTTGGGGCCAGACTTCTTCACTTTGTTTGCTTCACATGTGGCGCGGGTGCTCCTAGTTGCGAGAGCACGAGTTCCACGTACAGCACTGTTCAAAAGCTTGGGCCACGACAGCGTCTCGATCTCAGCGAGCTTTGCCTTGACATTCTGCAGGTTCCATGGCCTTGAGCTTGAGCTTTTGTTGCATCCATGTTTTTCCATGCCATTTGGCCCGAATCCAGGGGCCCCTTTCGAGCACTGACTCGACCACTGCGGTCGGCGGAAAATCGTAGCCATTGCGGCTGTCCGGACTTCGTTCGTACTTTGTGTTTGAGCCCCTCGATACGCTCCACTTGTGCTCCACCCGCTACATGGTAGCGGAGCACGTTGCTCCAGCGACCTCCGCAGCTTTCGCCACTACATCCTGAACAAGTTCAAGAAGGTCTTCGCTGAGACTGGTTGAGTGGCTAGCTGCTGCCCCCTTTTGCATTTCTCCTGACCTTGCTGAGCAAGGCCCCTTTTGCTGAAGATTTTCCCCCTGGAGTTTGGTCAAGATGGCCGACAAGGATGCTTTCTCTGTCCCTTCCTGGGACGGCTCTGCCAAAAGCTGGCGCCGCTACACGCGGGAGGTCTCATGGTACTTCAGGGCTACGCCCATCTCCAAGCGGCGATATGTCGCTACCAAGTTGCTGAGTCGCCTGACGGGACCAGCAAGGCTGCTTGCGATGTCATGGAGCGACATGGCCCTGGACGAGTATGACGGCACGAAGGTTCTCCTGCAGAGGCTAGCTGCCTCCCCGCTTGTGAGGAGATCGATCCCAAATGCCTCGGCCATTTGTGGTCAATACTTTGGCTTCCAACGAAAGCCTCACGAGGCGATGACGTCCTTCCTCGTCCGAGAGGCTCTTGGCTACAGCGAGTTCGTTGAGGCCTTGGTGAGATTGGCTGAGGAGAAGAGAGGTGTGAAGCAGGAGGATAAGGACTTTGGTTTGCCTCCAGAAGAGCCTGACTATGAGGACGGCTATGACTATAACCAGGACTATGACTGGTCCTCATGGCATGCTTGGGGTGA